TCATCATTTCCTATGTAAACTACTCTTTAGAGGAGGTAACAAATTTACCCATATTAAACACAATGAAAGTAACCCTCATTAATTTAACACTGTATCTCTAATCTCTTTGCATTCCCTAACTAGAACTTCAGAAATTAAGGTCAATTTCCAATTTAGGAAACAAACTAATGGCATTTGATTTTAAACTTTGTCACTAGATTTCTTAGTTTACTGCTCACTAATCATGTACCCATAAATTATGGTGTATGGTAAAAAAAAAAAAAAATGCATGGATCAACTTCCAAAACATATTTGGGAAAGTACTAATACATGAAACAGTTGGAATAATGACAGGAGAGTTAACAAAACAACATAGAAGTGGGAAACACTGTGAATTCTTTATTATTTTAGTAACAAAATCATAAATTTTATATTGTGGTATACAATATGATTTATATAATAAGAGACATCCACTTGAAATGAGATATACTGCATTATATCTTCTATACAGAGTCCTTAAATTTCAAGCAAATACAGTTGGCCCTTACCATTAGCTGTAGTTCAAGTAGGCTAGCTTACAAACAAGCTGCACCTACAAATGGCTCTTATTTACCACATAGTTCCTAGGGTAAATGTGTTTACCCTTTGATTGAATTGTCACATGAATACTATAATAATGGCTGTGGTGTTGGACTAATCGGTGAAGTTTCTTGCCTTCCTTCATAATTTCTTCAGTCTTTTTTTTAGTAGGCAAAACCTTTTCTATAAAGTCTGAATCTTCTAAGTACAGCTCATCTCCTGAAAAATAAAATTTTATTCCATAAAGTATTATTTTACACATCCCACTATATTTATTGGTGACATAAAAATATTTTTACCTATATAATGTATTTGGAACTGAGTTGTTAAATAACTAGTTTTATGAGTGTTTCTCAGTATCTTTCTTTTATTTTTAATATCTTCATCCCCTGTCAATAATTTTCTTGGGTGAGCTATAGTTAGGAATTGTAAGGCTTCAATGTGAACTATACTTTTTTTTTTGCAGAACCACAGATTGAAGTCAGGCCCTTGCGCTTGCCAGACAAGCACTTATTCTACTGAGCCATCTCCCCAGCCCCTGAACTATACTTTTTTAGTAGTTCATAACTCTAATTTATTCAATATTGACATTAATATTGGCCTTAATATCTATACTTCTGGTGCTTTATTGTGGGATATTTTGATAATCTGAAAGTTAATTTAAAAAAAGATCATTTACATATAAACTGCTAACCCCCCACTCCCACCCCATGCTGAGTAACCAATCATACCACCGTTTTCAGGAACTGGGCCAGACACAAAGTATGACAGATCACAAAGCCCTGGCACAAAACTCTAACCTGTGTTTGCCCCACTGCAAGTGACCATCAGTGAATTTTCTAATTCAAGTAAGCTAGCAGTTAAAGTTCCCATAATTCAAAGTTAGTTCATTTAATTTGTTCCACAATTCTGGAAAAGATAGCCACATTCATGGTCATGAGGGAAAGATGTCCACAGTCATGTTCATCACGTGATGCAGTTTGCAAACAAAAACAAAATTTTGCCAAATGCTTGTGAACTGCATTATTTGAAAACAACATTCATGAACCAAAGTATCACTCTGTATTTATATAAATATATATGTGTATGAACATATACAACATTCAGAATTCCTAGCTATAATAAATACTGTGGATTTAGATTTTGACATTTAAGTAATATCTTTTTTTTTTCCCCCCTGTGGAACCAGGGATTGAACTCAGACCCTTGTGCTTGCCAAGGAAGCACTTATTCCATTGAGCCATCTCCCCGGCCCTAGTAATATCTTACAGGCTATAAAATATCGACTATAACTCATGTCTTTGTTGAATAATATTGCCAAATAGCCCGGTGCATTGTGCTAATACTAATAACAGCATTGATAATCCACTGATGTATACCTGGATAAAGTTGGATAATCCCATCAGCAGTAACACAGATAATAGGCAGCCATTTTTCTGCCCCTTCTAATGCATACTCCAAACAAAACTTGTGCAGGTTAGAAAGAGAGGCAAATTTTTCAAGTCTTCTTATTTCATAGAACTGTGGGGGTGCCAGCCAAATTTCTTTTGAAAGGAAACTTTCAGTTGCCTCTGATGGAGATGACCACTGTGAAAAACAAATGTAGGACTTCCTAAGGTTTATTGCATTAACAAGATACGAGACTGTTAAATCACTACTTAAAACTTATCTGAAGATGTAAAATTAATTTATTAATGTGCCTTGCTAACTCCCTTTGAGACAACATGTAAGCTGGCATGGTAGTACATACCTGTGGTAACAACCAATGAGGAATCTGAGACAGGATTGCTTGAACCCAGGAGTTCAGGGCCAGCCAGAACAATATAGAAAGACTTGGTGTATGAAGAGAAAAAAGGAGAAAGATAAAAGAAGGAAAGGGGAAGCAAAGGAAGGGAGATTTGGAAAAGAAAGCTAGATGATCCTTTTAAGAGGTTGATTATTGGGACCCTGAGAACTAGTACATAAACCAGAATGAATCACCAGAACATGGTCCAGAACAGCTGTTCAGCAGAAAAGGTAGGAAATGGTGAAAGGGCAAAGTGGTTCTGGTCACTCAAAAGCTCTCAAAGATGAACTGCATAGTAGATTGAGATTTGGTGTCTATTCACTCCTCTCATTCCTCCCTTGATTAGCCATGAGATTATAATAGCAGTTAAAGCTTTTAGCCCTTTGGGGTCTTCAGACACCAAAATACATCATGCTATATGACACACATTACCATGGGAGTAAAGAATCAACAGTAGGAGCTTTTGTAAAGGTCAAAAGGCATGACTCAGTCTACAGTTTAGGGAGTGGAATAACTTTGCAGGGTTCCAATCACAGTGTTTCCCACTAAATGTGGTTCAGAGGCCTTTGAAACTGGTCTGACCACACTGCTGTAGCCTGCTTCTAATCCCCAGCATTCCCTCTACACATTCAGACAAAAAGAGCTGACTCAGTGCACATGGAATAACCCCAAAAGGTCTTTCTTTAATTGGTCTTCTAAATATATCTACTTATGTTAAGCGAAACTGCTTCTCACCCTGTAGGGATCCACTTTGATGTGATTACAGCTATTGTGGTGGTGATCAGCATTTTACCTGCCGAATGACCCTGGCACACACTCAACCCTACAGGACAAAGTTAAGACAGTCAGCCTAGGGGTTTGTGACACCTGTACTATTTCTTAACTGATACTGGCCACAATCCACTTTTGTCTAGCTTAGTACCTAAGCCCCTCCTCTTGTCTTGGGTGTGGGGCATCTTCTTGTCCTGTTGCTGCCCACGACATGCACTATAGTTTATATCCAGATGTCTCCCAAGAACCTCATATGATCACAGGTGGAGCTTTTGGAATGTGACTAGATTATGAGGCCTTAGAGCTGCAATACTCTTAGAATGGTCAAGTCTGATGAGGTGTGCATCTAGGGATGTGGCCAGAAGATTTATCTCCTTCCCCAGACCCCGAGTTTGCTCTCTCTGCTTCCTGTTTACCATATTCCTCTGCCATGCTATTCTGCCTTGAAACCACTTGACTATGGGCTCAAATGTGAGCTAAAATAAATCCTCCCTTAAATTGCAGGTGCTGGGTGTTATGTTTCAGTAAAGAACTAACTAAGACAGAAGTGGGGTCACCAATTTGACTATCTGACAGTGTGGTTCAGAGGCCTTTGAAACTTGTCTGCTGGAGGAATTCGAAAATATTTGGCAATGTCAACTGAAGAAAGAGTCCTACAATGTGTAAGCTGCACTTGACCAGAATGCTGACAGAAATACAGATGGAAAAGACCAGCTTTAGATGTCAATTAGAAACAAAGACTCCATTGGCATTTAGGCTGCAGACCACGGGTATGACACTGGCAGAAGATTTGTCTACATTTTGTTCCTGTCTTCAGACTTTGTAGGAGGCTGACATTAAGGGCAGTGGACTCATTAATCTGGTGGAGGAAATTTGAAGACAGATCAATATTCAGCCAGTGGCTCAGTTACTACTCTTAGCAAGGTCTATTACAAGAAACAAAAGTAAAAAGTCCACTTAAGAGCTGGATGCTATGGCCCACATGTGCAATCCCAGCACTCAGGAGACTGAAACAGGAGGACTTCCTTGAGTTTGAGCCCAGACAGGGCTACACAGTGAATTCAAAGCCAGCCTGAAATACATCCCAAGAATCTCTTTTTCTTTTTTTAAATCCATTAAAAAAGTTCTCAGAGGCTGAGGAAAGAAGACTGCTTCAAGTTTTGAGGATAGCCTAGACTACTTTATGAGTTCAAGGCAAACCTGATCTATACAGTAAGACCCTGTATAAAAAAAAAACCAAAAGCATGGTGGCATACATCTATAATCCCAGCACTTGGGAGGCTAAGGCAGGAGGGTCACCAAGAGTTCGAGGCCAGTCTGGGATACATAGTAAGTTCAAAGCCAGCCAGAACTACATAAGACCCCATCTCAAAAAACAAAGATAAAAATTAAAAAATAAACCTCCAAACATTGCCAGA